GGGAGGGAGGGTTGGGGGTTGTGTGTGTTTCTGATGGCAGGGGGAGGGAGAGCCAGGGAGGAAAACAAGACTGTGACATGCTAGTGTAAACAAACAACTAGTCTCTGAAAAGAACATGTTTTACCAAAAACCCAGTTCATAATAAAAAAAATATAATGAAAAGGGACCCTGAGACTTTCTTCATTTTCAGAAACTATGGAAATTTAAACTTGTCACATATTCTAGACTTGCATGAGCCTTCTTGGATATATATTTTTCAGGGTCTGTGACAGACTAAGCCAGTGGTACATAACAAGATGTCTGTGACAGACTAAGCCAGTGGTACATAACAAGATGTCTGTGACAGACTAAGCCAGTGGTACATAACAAGATGTCTGTGACAGACTAAGCCAGTGGTACATAACAAGATGTCTGTGACAGACTAAGCCAGTGGTACATAACAAGATGTCTGTGACAGACTAAGCCAGTGGTACATAACAAGATGTCTGTGACAGACTAAGCCAGTGGTACATAACAAGATGTCTGTGACAGACTAAGCCAGTGGTACATAACAAGATGTCTGTGACAGACTAAGCCAGTGGTACATAACAAGATGTCTGTGACAGACTAAGCCAGTGGTACATAACAAGATGTCTGTGACAGACTAAGCCAGTGGTACATAACAAGATGTCTGTGACAGACTAAGCCAGTGGTACATAACAAGATGTCTGTGACAGACTAAGCCAGTGGTACATAACAAGATGTCTGTGACAGACTAAGCCAGTGGTACATAACAAGATGTCTGTGACAGACTAAGCCAGTGGTACATAACAAGATGTCTGTGACAGACTAAGCCAGTGGTACATAACAAGATGTCTGTGACAGACTAAGCCAGTGGTACATAACAAGATGTCTGTGACAGACTAAGCCAGTGGTACATAACAAGATGTCTGTGACAGACTAAGCCAGTGGTACATAACAAGATGTCTGTGACAGACTAAGCCAGTGGTACATAACAAGATGTCTGTGACAGACTAAGCCAGTGGTACATAACAAGATGTCTGTGACAGACTAAGCCAGTGGTACATAACAAGATGTCTGTGACAGACTAAGCCAGTGGTACATAACAAGATGTCTGTGACAGACTAAGCCAGTGGTACATAACAAGATGTCTGTGACAGACTAAGCCAGTGGTACATAACAAGATGTCTGTGACAGACTAAGCCAGTGGTACATAACAAGATGTCTGTGACAGACTAAGCCAGTGGTACATAACAAGATGTCTGTGACAGACTAAGCCAGTGGTACATAACAAGATGTCTGTGACAGACTAAGCCAGTGGTACATAACAAGATGTCTGTGACAGACTAAGCCAGTGGTACATAACAAGATGTCTGTGACAGACTAAGCCAGTGGTACATAACAAGATGCAACTGTCTCTTGTTCTTACTTTGGCTTGTCTTTCTGGTTTCAAACACAAAATGACTGATAATACAGAATAAAAATCTAATTCAGGTGGTTAAACTGGTCCAGAGAGTCATATCTGGATCATATTCTACAGACATGTGATTGCTCCAGTCTACCTTTGTTGTAGATGAATACTTAGTATCTGAATGTATATTTTTCATAAAAACAAAAAACTCCATTCAAACTGAAAAGGAGGTGCAGTGAAGTGGGAGATTCAGAGGAAATATGTAGACTTGCATGATTGAGGGCCTTCACATTACAGAGAGGGCCGGGATGAAGGGAAAATAACATGATTCAGGGCCTTCACATTACAGACAGGGACCGGGATGAAGGGAAAATACAGATTCAGACAGAAAGGGCCGGGATGAAGGGAAAATAACATGATTCAGGGCCTTTGCATTACAGAAAGGGCCGGGATGAAGGGAAAATAACATGATTCAGGGCGGGATTACAGAAAGGGCCGGGATGAAGGGAAAATAACATGATTTAGGGCCTTCACATTACAGAAAGGGCCGGGATGAAGGGAAAATAACATGATTCAGGGCCTTCACATTACAGACAGGGACGGGATGAAGGGAAAATAACATGATTTAGGGCCTTCACATTACAGAGAGGGCCGGGATGAAGGGAAAATAACATGATTTAGGGCCTTCACATTACAGAAAGGGCCGGGATGAAGGGAAAATAACATGATTTAGGGCCTTCACATTACAGAGAGGGCCGGGATGAAGGGAAAATAACATGATTTAGGGCCTTCACATTACAGACAAGGCCGGGATGAAGGGAAAATAACATAATTCAGGGACTGTGAGATAGGTCTTTGTTGGAACAACTCTCTGGTCTTAAGATAAATGGCACCATTTATAAAATGTCTCCAGTTGTAGGACACAAATAACTCATTATCTCAATATCAGTTGTAAGTGATCTTTTTTTCAAATATGGAACCATGTTTATCTTACTCAAAGATGCTGGAAGCCCCAATGGGATCTGAATGAGGAGGAGGCATGGCAACCAGAGACACATGTAGCTGGGCAAGTTGACACACAGCTCCCAAGGACCAGGCCCAACATCTGTCAGATATAACCAACTACCAATAGACACGGGTATCTGGGCAAGTTGACACACAGCTCCCAAGGACCAGGCCCAACATCTGTCAGATATAACCAACTACCAATAATTTCAACGATGCTTTCCAAACCAGTACAGTCATGACACTACATGGCTTTACAGATACACAACCAATTTCTAAGCTATATTATCTGGTCTTCCATGCCAATAAACATAATAAACAGACATGATTACAATCCGGCACTGGACCAGAACTAGAGGACAACAATGCCTTACACTGATTGATAGTTCACCTCTTATTAATCTAACTGAGTTAGAGTACACAGACCGCGTCATACCAAAAGACGTTAAAATATGGTACTTGTTGGTCCCTGTCTGGCGCTCGGCATTAATGGGTAAAACAAGGACTGGTCGGCTCGGAGTCAGTATAATGAGTCTGAGTGGGGTATTCATGCTTCACTGCGGCATGGTATCTCAGTGGGCTAGCACCATAAAACCAGCTTAAGTCTGGGCTAGTACAAGCAGCCTCACATACACATACACATGCATGCACGTCGTCATATAAGCGAAATATTCTCAAGCACGACGTTAAACCCAATTTCACCTCACCTACACAGATATGTATTCTATGAGTCTTGGAAAACTGAACCCACAGCAGTGAACTATGTATTCTATGAGTCTTGGAAAACTGAACCCACAGCAGTGAACGTAGACTTGAGTTTCATTGCTGACACAGCCATCCACTGCATATATCAGTGTCACGCATGTTTACCATGTAACTCTTCCATCCAGGCCTTCCCTGATGCCATCTTATCTGTGGATCTAATAACAACTTCCTGGCAATTGTCACCTACTTAGCCTGTGGCTGCACACATGCTGCACATCACTGATGAATCTTCCTCTCTGGAGCACAGAAATTATGCTGTAATCTCACATATACCCTTACACACTGTGTCAGATGCACAAATTAACTTTTTCAAAAGATTATCTAATGATATCATGTTTGTTTGAGATATCTTTAACGATATCAGTTATATGGACTATATTTACACAGCGGCACCTTCCTCAATGATCAAGGTGGTGGTTGTGGACAGAATTGGTTTATATTCACATCATATCTTTACATTGTCATATTGTGTCATCAGGGATCTGAATTGCCACCACTTGTAAAATAAGATAATGACCAGTGGTATGGCTGTAATTCAGGGTGTACATATATGTTACCACTGTTTGAGCTAGATGTCTCAGGTCTCAGGTTCACCAGAATCTGAACATGCTCAAGAATACTTGCAGTCCTTAACTACTCCAATTTCTAAGGTGATGGTTTCCAATTTCATTCTACGGAGAAGCACAGTGCAAGAGTCATCCACGAGCCATGTCTGCTTGAACAACATTACATCTTGATAAATATTCATGAGCTTTAATGCTGACAATTTGCAGGTTTCCCAAGTTTATCACTTAACACAATTTTAAATTCACAAGAACGCCGGGCATGTCTAAGGTTGATCTTTCAACAAACAAAACAAGGAGAAAAATCAATCTCCACTATGGCTCTTGCTGAAAGCTACATCAGTTATTGCCACCAGTATGTGATTGTGGTTTGTTTCCCTCAGGTGCCATATATCATACAAAAAGCTATTTCACCTGAATAGATGTGTCTCATGCACCCTGCACACTGCAGGGAGTGAGGGGTAATGTAATATTTAGTGTCAATGCCTCTGGGCCTAGGTCCCTGCTGCACGATTATTGATTGAGAACTATGAAACAAACTGAACAAAGATAAGCAGTGTGAAACTCATGATTAGTCAGAAATACCAGAATCTGTGTTCTCTCATAATTGTTTACCTTAAATTTATTTGACAGATACTCTCAACTTACATCTTATTCAAGACTTCAATTGTTACAAACTGCTATAAAAATGACTGTTCCAATCTTTTTAATTTTGGGTGTTAAGTGCCAAAATGTGTCCTGAAAATAGCAGATTAGCACCTCTGAGGTGGGCAGAACTAGTCATAAAAAAATAAATTAATACTAACATGGCTGTATGTTGGGCTTTGGAAGAAATACTGGAACCCTAATTTATGTTTAAAAAACACTGATCTCATTTAAATAATTCACTGAATATACAACATTTTCACTAACCAGCAAAGAGAATATAATGTACAATTTACCTTCTATAAAAAAAATGACAACATACCAAAAGATATTAAGATACCAAACCACATGTCCCATCATACAAATAGTATGCAATAGATCACAAAGTCACAGCCAAAACAAAAACCAGAAGCAGCATTGTGCCCACCCAATATTACTCCAACTTCCTGATACAGCCTACATGGTTGTAGCACATCTCACAAGCGGGCTATTTTCACAAAGGTTGGTGAATCAGTTCCATTTGCTGATGCCAGGACCTAAACGAAACACATCTAAATCAACAACATGATTCTGGCTGGTATCCAGAAGCTAGTACAGTGATGAGTACCTACCAGTGGTCTGCCTTGATCCAACACACAGCTACTCCACAGACAGGCACAGGGAATTTGAAGCAGCAAGACTCGTCTGGGTCAAATGCAAGGCTCTAAGCGATTTGCTTGGGGGGATTTCATTTCAATAAGTGTGTGGACTATCAGAGGGCTTACTTCACTTCACAACTGATAAGACAAGTTAACCCCACAAGCCACAATGAAATATGGGATTTGAGAAATCTAAACAATGCAAGGAATTTGCTTTAGTCCAAACAAAGAATATGGAGGTTGTTAATGGAAGATAATCATGCAAATTGCTCGCTCTAGGTAGGTGATTAAGTCTGTGTATCACTGATAGTTAGTTATTAATAACACAAAATGGATTGCTCATGTTTGAGGAAAGACTAGCCTATCCTCCCTACTATGTTAATAAGCATGCTCCAAGCAGCTATTGAAAGCCAGGCCAATCCCATGACATAAAAGCAGTTATGTTTCGGTCTAGCCCACCCCTTTGGACGGGAGGTGATGCAGCATGCCAAAAATGGTAAGGCATCTTGAAAATACAGCATCCGTGGCAGTGACTCACAGGTTACCGTGGCGATGGGGGAACTTCCAGTCTGGACGTCCAAGACAAAGGGGATTTCCTTAGGGAGTGGTTCAACAGATTCATTCATATGAGGACAGGGAGATGTTGCATTGTCTGTGATGCCTAATTTGCATACATCCCATCTGCCTGCCTGTTGGTAGCATGTAGGAAGTCTCTCCAATGCAGGGGGGGTCGTAATGAGGGATGGGTCTCAGCTGATGGGGCGGGGGAGCAGGAGGGGACAGGTCTAACGATATATTCTTCTTAGTTATTGATGGTCTTACAACTGAGCAGCTAATCTGTGTTTCCTTACTTACTTAATGTCTTTAAAGGTTGTCTAGGTATAAAAGGGCATTTGTTGGTATGTTTGTTTTCATTCTTCAAATTTCTAGAAATACAAACTTAGAAAGCTTCTTCAATCAATACTGAAACACACACTTTGGTACAAAATGAAACAGATTCCCATGACCCTATAACTTCCCCAATATGTTTATGTAACAATCAGTTTTTAAATCTGGTAGTCATAGAAACAAAAATATCACTTTACGAATGCACCCTTTGACCAATGCAGAATTTTTAACCCCCCAAAATAGATACATATATTTTGTAATAATATTTATGGTTTTAGATTTTCATAAAACTGCAAATTAAAATATATGTTTTACCATAAAACTAGAATGATATGTTTGTGCTTAATGAAATGATGATGTCACAATTAATCACAAGCACATATCATCTAAGGCTACTTCTTACCTCTGAAGAGTTCTGATGAAAACAGCTACATTTAAACTGAACAGGAGACAAAGTGAACCTATGGAAAATCTAGACTTGCTTCATTTACAACTCAGGCCAGTCAGGGCTGAGCTTATGGGGAAATGATATGGTTCAGGGACTGTGACACAGACTAGTTTCATCTGTCAATTAAGTTTTTTACAATTTGGGCTCTATTAGTCATCAATTGCTTTGTTTAGTTCAAAGGATATTTTTGAAATTATTTAAAGCAAAGACTGCTCAAATAAAATTTGAAAATCAATAATGAACGGTTATTAGGAAAATCTAATTAACAAAGAAATTGCTAAAACTGCCTTTGGTTAATAAAATTTGTCACGTAATATCGAGGGATCAGAAAGAGGCTGGTTTATAGTTTATGAATAGAATTAAATGACATAATCAATATGTGATGAAATCTTTTAACATGTTCATACTATCATAAATCAACATTAAGAATATATTCCTACATACCAGCTTCCACCTGAAGTGTACATTTGTCTGTTTCGGTAGTTCTGCTCAGCTGTCATTGAGTGACTAAACATCAAATACATGTACCCTTCCACAAATTGCATGCTGTGAACATAACCCAACAACTTCCCAAATTAAACATATACTGTAGACATAACCTACTGTGTTCCAAGGTTTCAACCATAACTCTGATGTCAGAATAGATTTTTCAAACCAAAATAACAGATACAACCAGGATGAAAAGAAACCTTGCAATGCTTACCAAATTCTCCCACAGGCACGGGACATGTCACAATATTTGGCCAATATAAAGCTTTCTCAACATTACTGAAACTTACTATACTATATTTCAGCCTCCAAAATGACCTTGGAACTACCATGTATATTTCAAAGCTCAGTTGACAATAGAATGTTTACTAAACTACCTAGCAGTCATGTTTGAGAAAGAAGTGTTTTCAAATAAATATATCTTGAAATGTTGTGATTATCAGCCAAATCATGGTCCTACAAGGACTTCATAGGCACACCAAACAGAAGACTCGAAATGCTGAGGTAGAAAAGTCCATGACTCTGAAGGCTGAAGAAGCTGTGGAATAACTATTTAAACTGCACTATAATAGTCTCCTCAGGGACCGTTCATAATTAATGGCGGGGTGGGGGTGGGGGTGGTGGTGGTTGTTCACCCATTTTGTTCTGAAGAGGTAGGGGGTCACCAATTTGTACACATGTACTTGGGGGGGTGGGGGTGGGTGTGTGTGTGTGTACCGATTTTGTACACAAAAATAAGAAAAAAAATATGATTATAAATTACGGAAAGGTGGGGGGGTCCATTGATTTTGTACATGACATGCAAGTGGGGTCACATGTTTTGTACATAAATTTTAGGGGGGGGTCATTCACATTGTACATGCCTTTCCATGAAAATCATCATCCACCCCCCCTAGCCAGAAATTATGAACGGTCCCTTACAGCGTTGGTCTAGGAGGGAGAGGAGAGTCTACCAACATGAACATGCATCCCTCCCAGGTGTACAACTACCTGTATGATCCCACTATTTATACCACATCATATATCATGGCCGACATACCACTAAGTTACTTCTCAAGCAGGTATGGATGTCAAAATGTTTTATTGACCTCTAGCTTATCTTCTAGAGCAAGTCTGTGTGTGGAGTTGTTTATGTTTGTTTTATGATGATATTGTCATAGTTATAAAAACAGGTTGATAGAAAGGAGAAATACTTTCTGATGAAATATATCTTAAATGCAAATCTGGTAATAACTATTCCGAAAGGAAAATATCTAATTCTAAGATTTCTAATCCTCATATTTTTTAAATAAAGTAAATTACAAAATAATTGTGTAAAAGAGAAATCATCGGAAAATAAACTCAGAATACACATTATGTTCCTCGATTTATCTCCTCATTGGGTGTGATATTAAATTATTGGTGGTCTGTTAACTTGCACTTAATACTATCACTGGCGTCTAAACTAAGCAGAATATAATTGTCTTCACGGCCAGTTTTGCACCCAGGCCTGGAGGTCACAGTGACATACTGAGGTTGGACCTGCAGGACTTATTTAATGTCTGGATCGCAGAATGTAACACTAAATAATGACATGGATGAGACGATCTTGGCAACTTGCCAACACATGTAGGAAGTTGGTGTTTCGAAAACTTTGGAGCATCTCATTGTCATGCTATCTTTGAAATTATGAATAATCAAGAATTAGTGAGAGCTGCAAAAAAGGAATTGATAAAAGTTATGCAGTTGAAACAGAGAAACAAGATATCCTGTGTTTGGGTCAAGATGGGAAGAGGAGACAAGAGATCAGGGGAGCCAGGGGACCAGGCCTCGTGTGTTTCTCAGTCACAAACAGATGCATCTGTATGGCTGACAATGTACAAGATACAATTATGTAGACAGAGTGAATGAAGATGTTATTTGAACTAATCGCACATACATTTGCATCAATATTGGTTTGATATACTCATTTGTACAATGGACTCGACCTTTTTTGTACAGCCATTCTGTCTGCTTCACAACTAGAGTGAATGAGTGTGGTTTTAGCAATATTCCAACAATATCACAGTGGTGGACACCAGAAATGGCTTCACACATTATACCCTTTTGGGGAATCAAACCCAGTCCTTTGGTGTGACGAGCCAACACTTAAACCACTGGGCTACCCCACCACCTTGCTGCCTAACTAGAATGTCTCCATACCTATGAAGGTCAATATTCGGTCAAGGTCATACTTTCAAATATGTTAATTCAGATTATTGCATAAAATTAATGATACTGTCCAGATTATCAGGGGTTCACTGTGTACAACAGGACATTTAGATGCATATCAGAGCTGTTTAATAACTCTATATATAACATACGTAAGTATAGGACAAATATTACCGGCAATGTGATTTATTCGTTTTGGATAAAACCCGTCTCATGTGTCCTTATATGAGCATTTAATATTATTTTAGAGGAAATGAAAACAATTACAAATGTTAAGCAAACATCCCAGCCATATTGCCTGCCAACACAATATCTCCAGCACACAAAAACTGAATCATCAGTGCCAGACATAAGGGAGGTAACTCTGTTAACCCCCAATCTGAATACATGGGGGAATATGTTATCCCGCTAATCAATACTTGTGATCACAAACTGAGAGAGTTGCAGACAGTTTATATCTTCCTTCCTTTGTCTCAACTGCTGGTCACAGATTGTTACCCTGTCCTTACTGCTGTTCACAGATTGTTACCCTGTCCTTACTGCTGTTCACAGATTGTTACCCTATCCTAACTGGTCACAGATTGTTACCCTATCCTAACTGGTCACAGATTGTTACCCTATCCTAACTGGTCACAGATTGTTACCCTATCCTAACTGGTCACTGATTGTTACCCTATCCTAACTGGTCACAGATTGTTACCCTATCCTAACTGGTCACAGATTGTTACCCTATCCCAACTGGTCACTGATTGTTACCCAATCTTAAGCGGTCACAGATTGTTGCCCTATCCTAACTGGTCACAGATTGTTACCCAATCTTAAGCGGTCACAGATTGTTACTCTTAACTGACTGTTCGCCCTGTTCTATTTACGCCCCACTCAGCAATATTCTAGCAGTATGATGGCAGTTGGGCAATATTTGTGTCTGGACCAGACAATCCAGTGACTTACATCACAAACATTGATCTACACAACCGAGTCCTGATAACACACATCAACCAAGTCAGCAAGCCTGACCAGCCTGACCCTCTTATGCCGCTTGTGACAAGCATGGCTGATGACCAGTGCTACCCCAATTTTCACCAGGTACTTTCAGTTCTCATGTCAAACTGACATGTTTTTTTTCCATCCTTTGTGTCAGTTTTGTTGGGATTGTAATATATATCAGGGATTTATCAGGGATACCATACTTAGTGCCCATGGCAGGTAAACTGGGAGAAACATCAGGATATCGTTCAGACTTGAATCAGGGTGTTATACTCAGTTCTCATGTTTGGAAATTCTGAGATTTGGGATAATTGTTAATTCAAACTGGGAATGTTACTTACTACTGACTTCCTGCCAAATATAAGCTTCTTAGCAGGTCTAGATAAGCACTGTGTATATAAAATCTTGCCTGGCTGTTGGACCTGCCACAGAAAAATCTACTTCAGATGAGAACTACGTCATACATCAATTAATCTGTCAGTGAAATGACCATTAGTGAATGTTTTTTAATGTTCCCAGGAGCAACATTCTATCTCTCGTACAGCAACTACCTAAGTCTATCTTGCTAGATATATGACCATTACATACATACTGTTGAACCTTGTTAAACCAGAAATATTGTGGAACCTTGTTAAACCAAAATTAAAGTGGAACCTTGGTAAACCAGACATGTCCCATAATGGGAATTTACTGATACGTCTCAAACTGTCAGGTCAAAGGGTGAACATAATCCCTGATGAATTCTACGGTACCAATTCTACCCACCTATGACCAATCTCAGCTGCACATAAAACCACTTGGTACATGAACCTTTGCCCTTGAGGAAAAACAAAATAGTTTCAGTATGTAAAGTTTACAAAAATTTGTGAAAAGTTACAATGTTTAAGGTGTTTTACATATATTACAGAACTATTAGTTCTGTAAACACATGTCTGTAGAACACATTCCACATGTCTCTCGTAACACCTTAGTTGTAACAATGGGAAGCTGTTTCTGTCTCTTCCCTTGAAACTTTCTTTCATGACAAAGACATATGTTAAGTTCCTAAATGTTACCAAGCTATTCCCTAAAGCAGCTACGTGAAAGGTTCATGTGTAATGGGTTTAGGTTTGACGGGAGCTGGAACAAGGGAAGTGCCTTGCCCTGGCTCCTTACTGGCTCTGTCCGTGTGTGAGCAGAGACTTAAAAATGTCCCCTCCCTCATTAACACCTCACCTCATTTAAAGCAGAAAAATACACTGACAGAGCTAGTCTGTCTCACAGTCCCTGAACCACATCATTTTTCCTCTTGCCATACTCAACCCTCCCTGCAATGCTAAAGCCCTAGTCTGCCATACAGACCCTGAAGCAAATATATCCAAGAAAGCCCACGCAAGTCTAGAAAATGTGGCAAGTCTAGATTTCCTCAGCTTCAGGTTGAAAATGAAAAAAGTCTCAGGGCTCCTTTTCATTATATTTTTTTTTTTACTATGAATTTTTTTTCAGTAAAATATGTTCATTTCAGAGACTAGTTGTTAGTCTACTAAAGCCCTAAATGAAGCAAGTCGAGATTTCCTAATCTCCCAACTCACTGGGGCTCCTTTTCAATTTAAATGGGTTTATTTGTTACTATCAATATTATATATATTCAGGGGCTAAGCGTTTTCTGGAGCCAACAGATTAAAGATTTAAGATCCTAGATTAAATGAAACTATAGGACAGCTTGTATCCTATTAATTCACTCACATGTTTTAGCATTGACCACTCTCCTCTACCATCACACAGGTGTCACACAGGTTAAATATGATAATGTTCCCCGCAGATCTGATTTTCGTGGATATTGATTCTGGGTATTATATTAAATTTTGTACATGCTGACAACACATGCTGTAAAAGCAACATGATAATCATATTTGTATATGATATTAAAATGAGTAACTCATCCTAAGATGGACTTGACATCTTTCCAAACATTCCTTATCCTTCAAACCATAATATAAAGCAATTCAAAACTAGAATTCTCTCCCACTATTGTTGTACTTCTTGGAAGCTTCGAGTGAAAGGACATTTTCATTCCCATTTTGCAGCAGGCTGATGTGTTTCTTTCTTTTTCAGCCCAAGACTCACTAAAACAACACCTGACATCTTTCCAATAAACCGTGAAGATCTGGGTTAGAACTGATCTTCAGTCACCTATGCTTGTGGTAAGAGCCGACTAACGGGATCGGGTGGTCAGGCTTGCTGACTTGGTTGACACATGTTATCGTATCCCAATAGCGTAGATTGATGCTCATGTTGTTCATCACTGGATTGTCTGGTCCAGAATCAATTATTTACAGACCACTACCATATAGCTGGAATATTGCTGAGTGCAGCGTAAAACTAAACACACTCACTCTTTCAAATATGTTTACTGTGCACATTATTAAACTGTAATTCAAAATAATTATCATTAATTATATTTATTCATAAATTACGGGTGACCTTTATCTTAAGTTCAGATTTATGAAGGTGACAGATGTTAAAACCCAGAACTACACTCACTTTTCACACTTCATCTTTGTGACATATAATTCTTATTTCTAATTTTTTAGGCTTTCCTTGATGGATGCAGTCTATCGACAACAGCTGAATGACCCCAGTTGTTTACTGACTTGTCTTCACCATGAACACATCAACAAATCTTCTCCATATTGCTGGAAAAACATTGGTAATTATATAGGAATCCTATTCATAGACAACATGTCATTATAGACCAATTAGTTAAACCTCCTGTAAAACTATAATTATTTCCGCCATTTGCTAACAATAGTGAAATATACACCTCATGTCAATTACACAGTCATTAGCACATACTTGGTTTGTGTTGCTGACGATTCCTCTCACAACTTGAATTCCATGTCAGACCACAATAAATCTGTTTCATGCGCAGTGTGGATAGACCTGATGACTAAACAGTTGACAAAGACATTCAATTAATACTCCTAGTTGACAACTTGCTAGTGCAATGGCCAATAACTTTCACGTGACCATGGTACTAGCAGTATATATTCAAATTTTCTAGCCAAAATTCAAACAAAAGTAATATTTTTCCATATAATTCTAGGAATACCACCTCTATGACATCATTGCCATAATTCTATATCAGAAAATATAAAAATCGAATAGATTTTGAACAGAAGTAGGCTTCACATTCACATGACTCTAATTAGTTGTGTGGATATTAGTTTTCCTCCACCATTGCAGGAAAACATCACTGTTTGGTTGTGTTTATCTCATGGAGACATTATGTCCCTCGAGCATGCCAGGATCCTGTGACTTTGGTTCAAATCCACCTCATGGTCATCTTTGGTTGGTCAGAACCATGTCAAACCAAGTGGAAAATGTCAAAAGAAGTTCCATGAACACTCTATAGAGGGATGGGCCAAACTGACAGATTTGCCTCAATGCCAAGTGTGGATCAGTACTAAATGATTACATCGCTGATCTACAAATGATATTGTGGCATGTTTTCCAGCTGATAAGATATAAAACTCATTAATTCCAAGTGATGAAGAGCCATGTTGAGCTTCCCCCTGCAGTCTCCGGTCAGAATGTTCCCAGATTGGGGTGCACCAAGCTACCACCTCCTGTTCACAGCACACATGATGTCATTTACTTAATCAGCGAAGTCACATCTCCCAGGGTGGCCGCAGGATTGGCAGAGGCACCACAGAGGGGGAAGGGTTGTTGGCTGGGGGGTGGATGTCTATCTCATGTCACTGAAGGGGAAGGGTTGTTGATTGGGGGTGGGGGTGGATGTCTATCTCATGTCACTGAAGGGGGAAGGGTTGTTGATTGGGGTGGGGGGTGGATGTCTATCTCATGTCACTGAAGGGAAGGGTTGTTGATTGGGGTGGGGTGGGGGTGGAGTTGTTGATTGGGGGTGGGGTGGATGTCTATCTCATGTCACTGAAGGAGAAGGGTTGTTGGCTGTGTGGGGGTGGGGTGGGTGGTGAATGTCTCTCTCATGTCACTGAAAGGGAAGGGTTGTTGATTGGGGGTGGGGGTGGATGTCTATCTCATGTCAGTGAAGGAGAAGGGTTGTTGGCTGTGGGGGTGGGGGTGGAGTTGTTGATTGGGGGTGGGGGTGGATGTCTATCTCATGTCACTGAAGGAGAAGGGTTGTTGGCTGATGGGTGGTGTGGGTGGGTGTGAATGTCTCTCTCATGTCACTGAAAGGGAAGGGTTGTTGATTGGGGGTGGGGGTGGATGTCTATCTCATGTCACTGAAGGAGAAGGGAAGGGTGTGGGGGATTGGGGGTGGATGTCTATCTCATGTCACAGAGGAGGGAAGGGTTGTGATTGGCTGGGGGTGGATGTCTATCTCATGTCACAGAGGAGAAGGAAGGTTGTAGGCTGGGGGTGGATGTCTATCTCATGTCACAGAGGAGAAGGGTTGTTGGCTGGGGTGGATGTCTATCTCATGTCACAGAGGGAAAGGGTTGTTCGCTGGGGGTGAATGTCTATCTCATGCCACAGAGGGGAATGGTTGTTGATTGGGGGTGAATGTCTATGTCATGTCACAGAGGGAAAGGGTTGTTCGCTGGGGGTGGATGTCTATCTCATGTCACAGAGGGGAAAGGGTTGTTGACAGGGGGGCGAATGTCTATCTCATGTCACTGAATGGGAAGGGTTGTTGACTAGGAGTGAATGTCTATCTCATGTCACTGAGGGGAAGGGTTGTTGACAGGGGTGAATGTCAATCTCATGTCACAGAGGGGAAGGGTTGTTGATTGGGGGTGAATGTCTATCTCATGTCACTGAGGGAGAAGGGGTGTTGGCTGGGTGGTGGATGTCTATCTCATGTCACTGAGGGGAAGGGTTGTTGACAGGGGGTGGATGTCAATCTCATGTCACTGAGGGGAAGGGGTGTTGGCTGGGGGTGGGGTGGGATGGATGTCATCTCATGTCACAGAGGGAAAGGGTGTTGGCTGGGTGGTGGATGTCTATCTCATGTCACTGAGGGGAAGGGGTATTGGCTGGGGGTGGATGTCTATCTCATGTCACTGAGGGGAAGGGGTGTTGGCTGGGGGTGGATGTCTATCTCATGTCACTGAGGTGGAAGGGTGTTGGCTGGGGGGTGGATGTCTATCTCATGTCACAGAGGGGGAAAGGGGGTTGGCTTGGGGGTGGGGTGGATGTCTATCTCATGTCACTGAGGGGAAGGGGTGTTGACTAGGGGTGAATGTCTGTCTCATGTCACTGAGGTGGAGGGGCTGGAAGGGATGCATGTCACAGAGGGGGAAAGGGTGTTGACTAGGGGTGAATGTCTATCTCATGTCACAGTGGGGGAAGGGGTGTTGACTGGAACTGGACTGGGCGGTAGGCATCAATCTCTTGCTACAGACACATAGTTGAAATTAACACCAGGGAGTTCTTTTAAGCTTATGACAAAAAGGGCAAATTCCAAACTTTACTGCATGGTAGTTCAACTAACACAGTTACAGTGTGCATACAGTGGCATGGACCACTATCTACTCTTCACTACTCCGCCATTATCCCAGACACTTCATACCCTCAAAGTTTCAAACCAGCATTTGATGTTTCAGGCACAAAAACAGCAGAAGCATAATGGACCATAGGATATCACTGATCTGACTCTAGATGAGAACATGCTGACACCATGGACTACAATTACATGCTGACCTCAAGCATTTGAGGCAAAATCCCATTTTCACATCATCCAATGTTGCAAAAGTGTACATCAAAGGACTTGTGAGTATCCAACATGTCTGACATTCTAACAAGAACATATATGCTCAACTCCTGAAATATGCAGGACTGCTCATGTACATGAAGTAAATTATGGTATGAACAAATCTCAACTGAATTTTCCACATTAATCATTGCTTGTGTCAACAAAATTATGTAACAGCCATTATTGTAAGACATTCAAATATTGACCATAAACAGACTTCCTAATCTTCAAGTATATTAAGTCAGTCATACCACTGTGAACGCAAACATTTTGCTACTCGATTGAACATTTCACAAGCACTTTAGTTATAAGGTAGAGATTATGCTGTACACTGAACTGGTAACACAACCATTCCAGGATATCCTACTTCTTCAATGCAGTGTTTGCACACATCTCCATGCTGTGATAATTTGGTTGTATTATCAACACATGGATGGGCAAAAAGATTTAAGTACTGAAAACATTCCATAATATTTAGTATATTATGGTAACATCATGCTAATATCTGTCCTACTTACTGAATATTGTTAGTTCATCTGAACAAGGTAAGTTTTAGGTTTTGTTTCATTTGAAAGTGAATAAAGTTCTCAAGGTAAGAAATGTGTTTGTTTTGGTTCTTAGTTTGTCAGATGTGGACATGATGTTGTTGATGAAACAAACACCAAGGAATGACTCCAGTTCAGTCTGGATGTTACACAGTCTTTTACCACTATGATCAAAATATCAATAAAACAAAAAGAAATGCAATATCGCTAGTAAATTCAATACACCAGGCTTTGCTACATCCTGAATTGACTGTATATTTTCACATATGTAAGACAGACCTACTTGGTGGAACTAAATAGTGGGTGGATTTTCTCAGTTGTGGCAGATTTAGAAATCTATTATTAGATGATGACATCATTCCCACTGTGACATCATCAGGCCAAAGTTGAAATGTGTGAAATGTTCCATAAATTTGACTTGAACAGAATGCAGCAGAGTGGCAGAAAAATGTTGACAAATGATATTGCTGGTTTATGCATATCTTTACAGTAAGCACACTGGTCATTCATTGTCACAGTTTTAACAGTAGTTAGGGCCTTACCTGATAGAACATCTCTGAGTTTCTGTGCAGACATTAACTTCCACCACTCGTATTTGGGGTTCTAATCACCAATCAATGCCTCTTTCATGTTAATGGTCAGAGTTTGGATGAACAGAAAAAATAACACAAATATTTTCTGCTTTTTGGGTGTTCCTCATTCAAAAAACTGTTTGCCACGACTGAGCTCAGAGCAGTGAGGGATGTCCAAGTTGATGATGTGCTGTGCTTTTTTTGGCACAGAGATGAGACCAGTGTCTGTCTAAACAGGCAAATATTTATCTATACAGACAGACAGGGGTTAACAAAAAGCTGACAGTTGAATTTAAAGTCTGAAAGACTTAACTGACAAATTTACAGACCTTCAACTCACATCACTGAGAGAATTTTACAACCTCATTGATTAGATGAAACAGAAAAATGTCTGGTATTTAGACTAGAATAAAGATAAGCTTTGGACAAGTTTAAAATTGAAATGAGTATCTTACCACAAAATTCATCAGTACATTTTTGGTCACAGAATCCTTGAAAATTATATTATCAAATTAGTTGATTATAATAATATAATCAATATTGAGCACTGGGCTGCATCTTGTATATGGTGTGGGGTTCACTTTGCCTCGTTCCAAGGTTCTACTGTGGGCTGAGCCCATGGATGTATAGTAATTATTTATATTCCTCGGAAGGCAAGTCTAGATAAGTGGACAGTACAGTCTGTTGTTTATTATTTTTTTTAGCAATTATCATTTAAACTATTAATTTTTACCTTAGAGACTTGTGCAAGTCTAGGGCTCACCAGCTCGTCAGAGTTGAGCTACATTGTTTCACCAGTAATGTTTTGACAGATGTCATTAAGCATGACAGATGGTATGTATTTAACAGATTGATCTGTGTCAGAACCCCTATGTTGTACATTGATGTAGGTACTGCAATCTGGCCTTTACCTACTGCTTTTGCATATGACGCATACACACACGTGACAATTCAAAATGAAAGATGTGTATTCATTATGATGCAATGATATTAAATATTTTGTAGGGATGACACGATTACATGAGATACCCATGATTCGATTCCATGCATTATCCACGATACCCAGGATTCCACGTATTCCGATACCCATGTCACGATTCCATACGTATCACGATACCCATGTCACGATTCCATATGTATCACGATACCTATTTTTGCAGCATTATTGCGTAAATGTAGTTATATTTTGAACATTAATATTTCATATTTTATAATTGTCCATGAAAAGATCACATTTTTTATTCTCAGATATTAAAAGGTTCTAGTTTCCCATCTTTGTGCATGAAAAATAATCATTTATAACTCTCATAACATAAAAAAACATGATACAATTGCAAAATGTAAACGATACATAAACATATTTAAACCGATACTTTCAAAACTAAATATCGATACACTTTCGAATGTATCGATAATTGTATCGACTTAGAAAAAGTATCGATGCATCAATGTATCGATGTATTGTGGCTTTCCTAATATTTTGTATCCAAAAGTTATGAACTAGAAAATATTAACATGGGGCATGTTTTATTCTTGGAGTCTGTTCCAAGAATACACTTGTCAATATTAGACCAAATTAATAATTAGATAAATTAATCACATTTTCATTCCACAAATGATATGCAGTACAACAAAAGTATGCAGGATACTACAATTATAATCTTAATAATGGCAATATTCATGAATGCAAGAAAGTAGGGTTTTCCTTAGCTACAAACATTCACACATTGAAAATATGATAAAATAATGCCTGTAATAATTTTAGAGTGAATATAATATTTAAATCAGTCTCAAATTGATTAAACAATTACATTTGATACATGATGACTCATTCAGATTGTTAACAAAGTGTCAGTAAACAGAACCAAAATGGCCATGATAAAGCCATTCAATGAGCCATTATTCCCATCTACACACATGTATTTTATGACAACACCATATGTGAAAATATTGGTCATAATTGTAACATATTATCCATATCAGTATGCCGATATTGATCAGGCTGCGCAACACCACAACACAATACAAGCTAACACCAGCTTCCCTAATGAGGAGCTGCTTCACTTGTTACTGTTCATCTGAGAAGCTGGGCCCACACAGGATATTGTGCATTAAACCTAGGTGTGTGTTTTTCGTTTCCTCTGCTCACTGGAAATGAGTTGTGTTGGCCTGTGACCTATTCATGTTGCAGAGTGTCTTATATGATGCATTGGATATGGGTATAATATTGTCCTGACAACATATTATATATGACTTATCACACTGAGTGAGAGGAGAACATTGAACATAACATATATCTTCAGTTAACAACATACAGTTTCAGTCATGTGAATGTGAGATCATCGTCTTAGTTATTGTCATCAGTTGTATCTAACCTTCAGGGAAGTCTAGATCAGAATTTGAACCAAGCATCCAATGCTTGTCACACAAAGTGACTTTCCCCGGTTCGATTCCCCACATGGGCACAATGTGTGAAGCCCATTTCTGGAGTGAAGCATCATGTCAATGTCGCCATGGATGTGAGACTGTTTATTTCCTTGAATGTCCATTGTATACTACTCAAAGACATAAACTGTTACAATCTTTAGAAAGTATTGTTAAACTTAGAACACTAGTTGGTATTAATCGTATCTTACTGGGCAATGCAGGTGTCTCATTTACTGCAAATCAGAATGTTTTCAAACATGTACATATCTATATCTCTCCAACAAAACGTTATCTCAGTTAACTTCTGTTGCACATATGCTATTATCGGGAGGGGGCTATTCTATCAATAAACACAATCAAACCTCTCAGTGGCAAACCTGTTTTATATTCGACAGTAATTGATAGTAAAATCAATTTTGAGAAGAGAAATCATTTATCAATTAATCACAACAAAGTTCTATTTACCCACAATCAAACTTCTCAGTAACGACCCTGTTTCAGGCTCACCCTGCTCTACTCACTAGACAGTGGACTGTTCCATTATACCTGTAGGTGTTACCCTAATTAACCTTCTAGTTCAGTGTCTGTGGATTGGGTGTCTGTCAACTGGGTGTCTGTCAATTCGGAGATAACCTTTTTGTCGCACGAGGCGACTAACGGGATCGGGTGGTCAGGCTCGCTGGCTTGGTTGACACATGTCATCGGTTCCCAATTGCGCAGATCGATGCTCATGCTGTTGATCACTGGGTTGTCTGGTCCAGCACGAACTCACACGTAACGCCGCACTCATCAATATTACAGCTGTTGGCTGCAGTCTGTATATAACCGAGTCTGGGACAGATAATCCTGTGATTAACATCATGAGCATCGATCTACGCAACGATGACATGCATCAAAGGGTCTATACGATCTCCTCGGTTATTTTACAAGTATGGGTTGCCGACAGTCAATTCTAACTCGGACCTTTACCGGTATCAACACACATGACATATCCGTCACAGGTTCTCACTTTCGTACAGTTTGACTCTTATCGATCATCGACCGCCTCCGTGGTGTAGTGGTTAGAGCGTCCGCCCGGAGTGCGGAAGGTCGCGGGTTCGATCCCCGACTGCGTCAAACCAAAAGACGTTAAAATATGGTACTTGTTGGTCCCTGCCTGGCGCTCGGCATTAATGGATACATCAAGGACTGGTCGGCTCGGAGTCAGTAAAATGTGTCTGAGTGGGGTATTCATGCTTCACTGCGGCATGGTATCTCAGTGGGCTAGCACTATAAAACCAGATTAAGTCTGGGCTAGTACAAGCAGCCGCACATACACATACACATGCATGCACGTCGTCATGTGAGCGAAATATTCTCATGAACGACGTTAAACCCAATTCCACCACCACCACTTATCGATCATCATTCTATGACACTCCTGTGAACTCACACAATGTAAACAAAATCGTTTCATCCAGAACATAAAAATTATGTCATCATACAAAGAGATTTACCATCTTTGTATGGAAGACTAGAGTCACAGACAACTTTTTGGCTCATTGAGTTATGTACTCGCTTGTGTTCATCTCAATTGGGTATCCTTATTTTCCTTTGAGTAACCAAATAAATTGTACCCACCTCACTCAAACTCAACTGGGTATTTTGCCTCATAAATTGTAACAATATAATAAAGTTTAAATGTTATTTATATTGGATCTGTAATATGAGAAACGATAAGAAAGACTGCAAGTTGCCAAGTTCAGGTGTTGAAATAGAACCTCTGAATATACATCAGTTATTTTATCTATGCATCGGTACGCAAACTATCATTCGACATTTTTGTGTGTACGCATGTAAGATCAAATTTATTGAGTATTTACAAAAATTCAAACGTACTTGTGCGCAATAGACTTAAGAAGAATTGAGTTTTCACATAAATATTTGCGTAATTTACGCAGATACGTAGCTTATCTGTACCTCTGTAAGACACTTTATGAATTTAATTCGTAATTGTTCGATAATTAGATATACTCTAAACATGACCATCACATAAACAACTAGCGCCTTTTGTCTGACCACAGTTGTGTCCCTTAGAACCGCAGGATTCGAACTGATTATGAATCGTACATTTCTGT